CCCCGCCGAGCAGGGAGCCCGATGCGGGACTCGATCCCGGGACTCCAGGATCACGACCTGAGCCGAAGGCAGTCGCTCAACCGACTGAGCCACCCAGGCGCCCCCACCACTTAACTATTTTAACTTGGGGCAGATGACTTACCTGTGGTGAGACAAGTCTTCCTCATTTGCAGTGTAGTTAACAGTAGCTAACTCAGGGTGTGTGTTCAGGGTTGAGGTCATTAATACAGAGAATCTGCGGTCATATCTAGTGGCTGTGCCAGTAAAAGGCAGGGTGTTTTTTTTTTTTTTAGCTCATTTAGCTTTTCTCGTATTTTGGATAATTTTTTTTTAGGATGAATTTTTAGGAGAGCAATTATTGGGTCAAAAGTTACGCACATTTTTGGGGCTCCTGGGTGGCTTATTTGGTTGAGCATCTGACTCTTGATCTCAGGGTCATGAGTTCAGGCCCCGCATTAGACTCCTCGCTGGACATGGAGACCACTTTAAAAAAAAAAGTTGTGAACATTTTTATCCTTCTTAAAAAGTGGTGCACCAGATGGCTTTTGAAAACCGGTGGAGTCCATTTGCACTGTCCTAGTGCTTCGGAGAGCTGGTTTTATTGCTGCCATCCCTGTGGCGTATTTTGATTTTAAAATATTTTTGATGGGGCGCCTGGGTGGCTCAGTCGTTAAGCGGCTGCCTCCGGCTCAGGTCATGATCTCGGGGTCCTGGGATCGAGTCCCCATTGGACTCCCTGCTCAGCGGGGAGTCTGCTTCTCCCTTTCCCTCTGTTCCCCCCTCCTGCTTGTGCTCTCTCTGACAAATAAATAAAAAAATCTTTAAAATAAATAAATAAAGGTCAAGCCTTTAAAACTATATTTACTTAACATGGTAATTTTATAAGGATAACTTTAAGGAATAGTCTCATCAGTGACAAAAATTCTCAATATAATAATATCTCACTCATGTGTTTTAAATATCTTTTTATCTTTAATTAATTAAACAAATGTCTCCAAATTTATTTTTAAGTAAAATGGGCACGTGGGTGGCTCAGTCGTTCAGCATCTGCCTTCGGCTCAGGTCATGATCCCAGGGTCCTGGGATAGAGCCCCGCATCGGGCTCCCTGCTCTGAGGGAAGCCTGCTTCTCCCTCTCCCACTCCCCCTGCTTGTGTTCCCTCTCTCACTGTCTCTCTCTGTCAAATAAATAAAATCTTAAAAAATATGTATATTTTCGATACTTCACTGGGAGAAAAATGAAACCTAGTTTTGTAGTTTGCACCTTAGACTACTAGGTCGAATGTTTTTCATTTTTTACCAGTCTTCCCAGAATTGCGTGTTTAATGTTTTGTTGAAGATTTTAAAAAATTATAAAGGAGTGTAAGTATACATTTCCAGCCCAACCAGTGTGTGTTTTCATGTCACTGACTTCCGTCCAGCACACAGAATTACGTAGCCTTACGTGAGTTCTTTAATAAATGTGTTTATACATTGTATTTATAAATAAGCCACTTTCTGTCACACTGTTGACATTATGCTTCGTGATTAGGGAGACTTTCAAATCCTGGGTACTGTCCTTGGTACAGAGACTTAAGGAAATTTAAGAATAGAAAGGGAAGAGAGAAAATTAGTGATGATTGGATGAGAGTGTATATAAGACTTGGGCAGAATCAGCGCAGGATGAAGGTCATGAGCCAGGCGCGAGTCCTGTCTACCCTAGACCTGCTGCTCTGTGGGTCAGACCACCCTCCGTACTGATGGGCAGCTGGAGGAAGGACATCTCCTCCGGTTTGGTTTGGCTGCTCTTCTCCTTGTTCTGCCTTATCTGTGGTTTTCAGGTAATAACTTTCCTTCTTGGTTGAGCTCTCTCTCCTGGTATTTGTTTTGTAGTAAAGTTGGATTAGCAAGATTTGTAGCAGTCTGTCAGAATTGGACAGACTTGAGACTTCTGACTCCATGAACTGAATTTTATTGTAAAAAAAAGGTGGCAGGCCCCTCAATGTAATATGCGTATTATTTGAGTGGTATTGTCAGCTTGGTATTGTGACTGCTGGCTCAGCGGCACAGAATACGGAGGAAAAGAAATAAAAGTAATAAGCCAGTTATGTATCCTATGTAGGTAAAGACAGCAGTCAGTTGGGAATTGTGCCACTGTGTTATTAACGGGCCCTTTGTACTTCCTTATCGTAAAATATATCAAAGGGACATTGCCATACCTCACCTCTAGCTCGGCGCCTTTTATTATACCTCAAAAATTAATGCAGCTCTAGGATAGAGAAAGAAGCTGTTTAATACCAATTAGAAATTGAGCAAATTCATATTTTTTTTTTTTAAAGATTTTATTCATTTATTTGAGAGAGAATGAGATAGAGAGAGCATGAGAGGGGGGAGGGTCAGCGGGAGAAGCAGACTCCCCACCGAGCAGGGAGCCCGATGCGGGACTCGATCCTGGGACTCCAGGATCATGACCCGAGCCGAAGGCAGTCGTTTAACCAACTGAGCCACCCAGGCCCCCCTCACTTCATATTTCTATGTTGATGGAAATATGTCAGTTCCTGGACTTAATAACACTCTTGATGGTTCCTTATGTTCAGTGTGGAGTTACTATAAATAACACAGTAATGAGCATCTCCCCTGAGAAACAGTCTGACGGGAAGGAAGAACGTGGGGTTTAGAGCGAGAAAAGCCCAGGTTTAAATCTCTGCTCCACCACTTAACTATTTTTTTT